GCCCAGAAGCATGGTCACTTGTGTAGAAACCCGTTTCCTGTCTCCTGCATTCCCTGCCTGGCCCAGATTGGCCCAGGGTGGTGTCTGGAGCCAGTGGCATGGGGGCAGTCTGAGGGAGAAAGCAGCAGCCAGCCGTACAGGCAAGCTCCCCAAGCTGGGCCTGGCTGAGGCTCCATCAGCCTTGTGGTTTATGGCGAGACTGCACTGATATACCTGCATACTGCCTGCTGGTCCTTGTGTCTGTCAACTGTGCAGGTGTCCCTGGTGCCCCTTCACTCAAAAGCAGCGGCTACATGGCTGGGAGCAGCCCAGCCCAGCCTGGCCCGGCCCGGCTGTGCCCATCTCAGTATGTTCCCCTCCCTGCCTTGGGTGTCCTGCATTCTGAAGGCTTGGGCTGCAATTGCAGGGCTGCCATGACCTTGTCTTGGAAACCTGCGAGGTTGCTTCCCTCAACTCTGTAGTTGTGAGTTGGGGTGGGGGTTGGGGCTGGGGGAGTCACCACCCCCTCAGCCTCTGGCTCTGCAGAAGCAGGCAGTGGGCTTCAACCTGGTCCTGCACCACTCTTTCACCCCTTAGGATTTTGTGGCAATTCTGAGTACTGGGGCTCCTTGGAAGTACTCAGGCAGGGACCTCAGGGTCTGTCCTTTGTTAGGAAGATGCAGAACAGCACATTTGGAAATCCTTTCAAGTGGATCTGCATTGCCTTTAGCTGGGCAGCTCAGTGTCTGTGACTGTGGACAGTAGCTGCCCTTGAGGGTAGGGATCCCAGTTTTGAAGGATTCCTCCGAGCTCCAGCCCTACCCTGGAGCCCAGTGCAAGGCCACACTAGGCCCTGGGCCATCTGCTCTGGTCGCCCCAGTCAGAGGGTCAGTAGGTTTCTGGCTCCCACCCAGGAGCCTCCAGGCATGGCCACAGGAGGCTTCTTATGCATCCGCTGGGATGGGTAAGGGGTACCCATCCACCCTGATGAACTCCCCTCCCCAGGTGGCCCCTGGAGATGAGACCTCTCTTCCTCTGGGGACCAGGGTGGGAAGCTAGGGAGACCCTTACGTCTTTTTGGTGAGGTCAGCTGGCTCTCTGTAGCTGGAGTCCTTTGGGGAGCTTCAGGCCTGTACCTCTAGGGGGACAGCTCCAGGAGCCAGCAGGGCCTGGGCTTGGCATGGAAGGCGCTGGAGGGGCTCAGTCTTTTTCGGGGCTGCTGTGTCATTGCAGGTCCCTGACACACCACACCACACACACACACACACACACACACACACACACTTTGGCGCTGTTTGGGAGTGGAGGCTGTACCATGGAGTGGAGCCCCGGTCTTCAGCTGCTGTGTCTGTGCCATGCCTAGGTGAGGGGTGGTCCTCCTGGAGGATGGGGAAGGAGGACTCCTGGTAGGGGCCACCACGAAGGTATCTTGGGAGCAGTAGCACTTGGCTCCTGGGGAAGAACGGAGACTCTCTGGTCGCCCCTTGGGAAGATGCAGGCTGTGCCCAGTGGAGCCCTGGGGAGGGAGATGGGGCTGTGACGGCTTCCTGAGTATGAGTAGGGTGTGCACTGCTGGGGCCCCCATTGTCACTGGGCCACTGCACACTGCACTCCAGGGCCCAGGTGTGGGCAGGCAGGGGTGATTGGAGCTGCATGGTGCGGGGAGGGTGATTGGGACTCACTGGGGACTGGGCTATGTGGTGGCGGGGTGCTTCATGTGATACCATGTGGGTAGGTAGAAGGGCCCAGGCTGGTCGTTGGGGTCCAGGGTAGTTAGTGCAGGGGTGGGGGTGCTGGGGACAGGTCTGAGGGAGCCTAGCAGGGAGTGATATGTGGTACAGGATGCAGGTAGCCCTGCTGGCTTGCCAAGCTGGTCCTGAGCAGGACCTATTGTCCCAAGGCTTGCGTATGTAGGGGCTTTGGCTTGCGCACTCGGGAAAGGCTATCTATCAGTGGCCCGGGTAACTGTCAGGGTGTTCAGTCTTTGACTTTCTGCACCCCGAGGTGTCAGGTACGAGGTGCACCTGAGCTTTGTTGTGCTCCCTGATGAGTCCCCCAGGTGTGTTTTTGGCCCTTCTCTCTCGAGCACTTTCTGTCTGGTCCCATGATGCCCATAGCAGCTCCTGCTATGGACTTGCCTCCTGGGCTTTGTTTGCACTATGCATTTTAGCAGCCAAAGCAGCTCCCACAGCATAGATGGGCTCTTCGGTGGGCAAGTGAAAGGATGAGGGTGGGGTCAGGTGAGCCCTCTGCCCCGGGCCAGCTTCATGAGATCCCTAACCCCAGCAGGGGCCAGGGATGCTCAGTGTGAATCCTGGGGTGAGTAGCTTGGCTGTCAGCTACACAAGTGACACAGTGGGGCAATGACGTTACATCCCGCCTCTCTCCAGAAGCTCCAGCAGTCACTGAACTTCTGGCGCCCCGAGAGACTGAGAGACCCATTGATGCTGGCAACAGCCTGGTCTGCTTCTGGGCATCTTTGTACGTCACATAAAAATCTCTTTTGATCACTGTTTACAGTAAGGGCTTCCAGAGATGGGCAGGTGGGATTAGTGTATTGGATTTGCCCTGAAATACTTGTAGCTGCCAAATAAAATTGGTGCCAAGCTTGCTGTCCTCAGTGGAAGGCCTGCAGCTGGCTTGCTGGACTGTGACCCTCCCACCGTATGGGCTACACTGCCTCTGTGCGTGTGCTCCTGGCCCTAAGTGTTTTTAATAATTTTTTTTAAAGTCCTCCTAAAATTATCCCTGGAATCATTCTGAACCACCTTTTTCACCCTGAATTAACAACTCTCCAGTAAAGTACAGTACTAAGAATCTTGAAGTCCCCCTGACCCCCCCCACACACACAAAAAAAAAAAAAGAAATTGAGGTTAGGAAAAGTTTTTCATTTGGAAACTAGGCAGGCCGGTGGCCTCCTCTAGGCTCCAGAGAGGTGACCCAGCCTGGTGTCACACAGGAAATGCTGCAGCCCTGGGGAGCCTGGTGCCTCCATTTTCTGACAGCACCTGAACCCTTACCTCCCTTTTTCAAAATGAAGGCTGTGTGTCACAAACCGGTTAGAACTGCCCGTTGCCATGGTTTTCACGTTGGAAGGCACAGTTAAAGGGTCACATGACCAAGAGGGAAATGCCTTTGTCACATGACTTTTTGGTGGCCTGATTAGCATACAGGAAGTTCACTCCCTGCTGGCTGCTGGGATGCTGAGGGATCATTGATGGGTGGTGACATCATCCCTTAGATGAGTTATTGATCAGTTTCAGGCCGAGCGGGGGCAGGCAGCTCCCAGGTCAGGGTGACCCTCCCAGAAAGCTCAGTGCAGGACATCTCTGGCCCTGACCTGCCCTTTGCCCCCAGGCAGACCTGATTTCCTTGGGCCGCTCACCTCCATGAGTGGCCCGTGCCCTGCCATCAGAAAGACAGGGAAGCTGTCACTTCTGCTGGGCCCCCCTGCATGGCCAGGAAGCAGGCCTGTTGCATGTGACTGTTGAAGGTGCCCCCGCCCTGCTCTCAGCTTGCCTGCCCAGGAGCTACCTGGGGAGCAGCAGCTGTGGCCCGGTACCAGACCTGTGGGTTCCATCCCTCTCAGACTGACATCCGCCTGCCTCCAGAGAACCTGGAACCAGAGCTGCCGGGTTACCTTGAAAGTCGATCTCTGGGCAGTGTGGAGCCTTCAGTGGCTACGCAGACCTGTCAGAGCACAGGGAACCTCAGGAGCGATGTCTTAGTGACTGTAAATGCCCCTCGGTCTTAGCTCCGCCCTCTGTGCCTTGTCCCCTTATTTGGCCACCCAGTTGGCAGCTGCACCAGGCTGTGAAGTCCAGCACAGGCTGGAAGGAGCACTCTGGGGACCAGGCTGAGGAGTTGAGGCTGCAGCTGGGCTCATGGTCCCCTGGCCCCCTCTGATACCCAGCTGCCTCTCACTGTGAGACAGCCAGGCCCAGTGACAGTGTCACATTCTGCGGAGTAGAAAAACAGAGGCACTTTGAACTGTGACTTCAGCCAACTCCATCCAAGTTTGTGCTGTGGGTCACAGTGCCACCTAGTGGGCCCACTGTGTGTTCAGCTGCTTTTCTTATTTATTTATTTATTTTTTTGGTCTTTTTCCTTTTTATCAGTACCGGGGATCGAACTCACGACTGCCTGCTTGCAAGGCAGGTGCTTTTGCCGCTGAGCTAAATCCCCAGCCCCACAGCTGATTTTCTTTTACTAGGACCTGGTTCCTTCAGAAGCCAAGTCGGCAACGGTCCTTAGGGAAGGGAGCGGTGTCCTCCCCAAGGAGACCTCATAGCTGGGTGCAGAAGCCCACAGGAACCAGTGCCACACCAGTGCCCTGTGTCAGGTGGCATTGTTGGGGCTGTGCTCTTGGGCATATGTATGCATATGTCCTAGTGTTTGCGCATGCATTAGCATGTGTTTCACGAGATGGGGAGCTGGGCGCCTGCTGTGCTGCCCAGGTATGCAGGATCTTCACAAAGTGGACATACCCTGTTGCTGGGGTCAGAGGCACAGACCTCCGTCCCCAACTCCTGGCAGAGACTGAGAGAGCCATGGGGCTTCCTGGGCCCTGGCACTGCTTGGCCCATCATGGTAAGAGAGGACAGGCCTGCGCCTGGGACCAGTGAGCTCTCACAACACAGCTACACACAGAGGCATCGACAGTGGGGGACAGGCTGTGCTGGGGGTCTGGCAGGGCAGCCCACAGCATTAGGTGTGTGGGCTGAGGGTGCTGAGCAGGGGAGGGGCAGTGAGCCTCGTGTGCAGTGATGCTGCCCTGCTCCATGCGTCCTGAGTCTGCGGGGGCCACTGCCCATCAGGTGATGTTAGCCCGGAACTGCACAGCCTCTGGTTTCGGGATGTATAGTCCTATCCCACTCAGCACACGAGCCTGGGATCGCCATGGAGTGTGTCTACCAAGCCGTTTGGTAGAGGACGGCCGGGCCCATGCAGGACATGTCCTCCAATGGCCTGGTTCTGGGACTGGGGTGGCTCCGATCACAGCCTGCTGTCTCTGCCCACAGCGACATGAAGTCTGAGAGGAGGCCGCCATCGCCTGACGTGATCGTGCTCTCTGACAATGAGCAGCCCTGCAGTCCACGTGTGAATGGGCTGACCAAGGTGGCCCTGAAGGAGACCAGCACTGAAGCCCTCATGGTGAGCCGCACGGGAGGCCGAGTTGGGCCAGGCCAGGCCCCTGCCAAACGCACCACCAGCCTTGGGGTCTTGTCTCTGCAGAAGAGCAGCCCTGAGGAGCGGGAACGGATGATCAAGCAGCTGAAAGAGGAGCTAAGGCTAGAAGAGGCAAAGCTAGTCTTGTTGAAGAAGCTACGGCAGAGTCAGATACAAAAGGAAGCCACCACCCAAAAGGTGCGTGCTGCCCCTCGCAGCCCAGGCTGAGCAAGCCCGTGGTGGGAGTGCCTGGCCTTGGGCGTTGCTAGGGTCCTATGGGGGGGGGGTTCTGACTGAGCTGCAGTCACCGCCTCAGGACCAGGAGGTGAGCACACTGACCACATGGGTTGGACAGAGGCTGCTGAGGACTCCCCTTGAACCACCTGTCCTTGTCTTCCTGGGAAGGGTTCGACTTTAAATCAGGTCCTGAGGTCCTGAAGGGGCTGGGGATTTAGCTCAGCTGCATAAGCGCCTGCCTTGCAAGCAGGCGGTACCAATAAAAAAGAAAACGACAAAAACAAAAAAACAAAAAAAAAAACAATCCGATCCTGAGGGGCTCAGGTGCTCGAGGCTCTGGATTTCACCTGCAGCACTGAAAGCAGAACCCAGGGTGGGTGTGGGCGCCTGGGCTAGGGTGCTGAGGATGGGCTTGCTGGAGAGCCATGCAGGGACTGTGGCCAGGCTGGTGGGGGCCTCCTCACGCCTGGGTCACCCTCTCTCTCCCAGCCCACGGGCTCTACTGGGAGCGCTGTGACCACTCCTCCTCCACTTGTGCGGGGCACCCAGAACCTTCCTGCTGGCAAGACGTCACTTCAGGTTAGTGTCTCCTCTGTGTGCAGGCCCTAGGACCCTGCCCAAAGACAAAGGCAGCAGAGTGGAGAGAAAACCATGCATGGCTCCCCGAGATGAGCCACTGCTTGATGTGGGGAGGGGGTGTTGGGTCTCCGGTTGACACCTTTGTCCAACCGAGACTGTGGTCTGCAGGGCCTTCCTTGTCCCTGACGGGGGTTTCCTGCTTCCACCTTGTCCTAATTCACCCTGAGTGGGGCCAGGTTGCCAGTTTACCCCATCTGTTCAGAGCTAGTGTCTTGCTTTTCTAAGACTGAAACGGCCAGGTACACGTGGGCATTGGTGTCATTGACAGAACTCCTCCCGGATGCCGGGCGGCACCATCCCACCACCTCTGGTCCGCGGCGGACAGCAGGTGCCCTCCAGGCTGGGGCCGCAGGCCAGCTCACAGGTCGTCATGCCCCCGCTTGTCAGGGGAGCCCAGGTATGCAGGCCTGGCCAACACACTCGCACACAGAGGGCTCGGAGGGCGGCAGGGATGCCGCACTCCCTCTGCAGCCTCAGCTCTCCTTCCCACTCCACAGCAGATCCACAACATCAGACAACATTCCAGCTCTGGGCCCCCCCCGCTGCTCCTGGCGCCCCGTGCCTCCGTACCTAGTGTGCAGATCCAGGGACAGAGAATCATCCAGCAGGGACTCATTCGCGTCGCCAATGTCCCCAACACCAGTCTGCTCGTCAACATCCCACAGGTAGAGTCCACATGGCACAGGGTGGGGGTGGGGTGCTGAGGAGGTGGGAGACAGGCCTGTGTGCACCTTGGGTGTCCCCAGGAAGTGGCACCCTAGCCCTGTGGCCTGGGGCAGCCAGAGCCCCTGGAACTCTTCTCGCATCTCTGTTGGTACGCTCCTCAGGCAGGGTGGGTCTCTGCCTACTCCGGGAAGCAGCAAGGAAAAGGAGCAGGGCCGAGGTTGGCGGGCTGACTGGGTCTGCAGGTCCTCCTGCTGACAGGGCTCTGTTTATCACCACCCTCAGACAGGAGGGTGCCAGGCTGTCTGGGCAGGACCCAGCTCTGTCCTGAGGCTGCAGCCTTGAGAGCAAGTTTGGCTGCCCCCTTGGCAGGTTTCAGTATGCCACTTTCCCCAGGGGTACACATGGCTTATGTCACATTTGCAGCAGGACAGGTTTGGACCCAGACAGTGGTGCCCGCTGGGCAGGCCAGGGGACCACAGTGGAACAGCGAGGTTGGGGAGTGGAGTGGACTGGGCTGTCCCTGCCTTCCTCAGAGCTCTGAGGTTGCTCGTGGGGCAGAGTATCAGCCAGGCACTGGGGTGTACAGGGGCCGCCCAGGATGGCATCATGGGTGCCCCAGCCTGACCAGGTGGTTGTTGCTCTGAAGGCTACCCCAGCATCTCTGAAGGGGACAACAGCCACCTCCACTCAGGCCAACTCCACACCCACCAGCGTGGCCTCTGTGGTTGCTTCTGCTGAGTCTCCAGCCAGCCGGCAGGCAGCCGCCAAGCTTGCCCTGCGTAAGCAACTGGAGAAGACGTTGCTGGAGATCCCCCCACCCAAGCCCCCTGCACCGGAGATGAGCTTCCTGCCCAGCGCCGCCAACAATGAGTTCATCTACCTGGTTGGCCTGGAGGAGGTGGTGCAGAACCTGCTGGAGACGCAAGGTGGGTGCTGGTCCTGGGAGCCACCAGGGAGGGCTGTGATCACTCCTGCTGAGCCAGCTCCCTTACTTGCCTTCTTGGGGTATAGCAGAAGGGAGAGCTTGGGTCACCACCAACAGCAGTGCCAGAAACTGTGGGGGTGGGCGGCTGAGTCGGCCCCAGGGGAGCTGCTCCTTGGATGCAGAGGCTGAGCCCCTTAGTGCCTCAGCCTGAGTTTGAGGTGAGGTTCTCGGACCAATCACACCCCAGTGACCCCTTCCTGAAGGATCACCCCAGGGGCTTAAGACTGGAGGTGGCAGGGGCCACACAGGCTGCAAGCTCCCCCAACCCCCTACCCCATTCCTCAGCTCAGGCCTGAGCAGCCCCTCTCAGCCAGGCAGAGCGAGGGCCCTGAGCCTCCCCAGCCTTAGTGTCCTACGGGGCCCAACTACCTGATGCATGTCCCCAGGTGTCATGCCGTGTACCTTGGTGCCATGCAAGTACCCTAGGGAAGTGAGGCCCTGATGAACCTGGCCTGTCTGGAGTCCTTACTGCCAGGCCACGTGGGCAGGGGCCCGCTGCAGGAGGCCTGGTATACAGTGCTTGGGTGGGGCCACTGTAGACCACCCCTGCTGCCTCTGTCGTCATGCCTCACATGGCACAGACGGGCCTGAGGGAGGCCCCTGGAGGACTGGCCATGTATGGAAAGAGGACGCAGGCTCCGTGGGATGAGGGCCCTTCCCTGTGGCCACCTGCAGGCCTGCAGAAGGTGGGCGAAGGAGGTGTGGGTGCTTGGCACCTGGCCCAGTTGTGCCCCATAACCACCACAAGGAAGTTGAGGCCCTGGGTATGCAACCCCAGGAAGGAGGATAGAAATGCCAGGGCAGGACTAAGCGCCCCCTCTGGATCCCAAAAGGCCTGCTGCTCTCCCTATCCGCACTGCTCTGCTCTGTAGGTTGCCGTGTCTGCACCACCTGGCTCTGCGGTGTGCAGCTGTTGGCTTGTGTAGCCCACTGGGTCCCTGTCTTCACTGGCACAGGCTGTTGGCCTCTCTGTTGTGGGTAGGGCAGGACGGCAGCTGCAGCACCAGGGTCTTTGGAGCAGTGGTCCAGAGCCATACTGTCCTGGTGTCCTCCTCTGCCACAGACCTGGTGGCCAGTACCTGCGCCAACCCCATCGCAGTTTTGGGTCCTGTGCACTGCCAGGTGTCCAGGCCGGGCTGTGCTCCTGCTCTGTCCCTTGCTGCAGCTGGGCCTGATGCTGGCACCGTCTCTTTGCAGCGGGCAGGATGTCAGCAGCTGCTGCCGCCGCCGCCGCTGCCGCCATGTTAGCCCGGGAGCCCTATATGTGTGCGCAGTGCAAGACGGACTTCACCTGCCGCTGGCGTGAGGAGAAGGGCGGTGCCATCATGTGTGAGAACTGTATGACTTCCAACCAGAAGAAGGCACTCAAGGTGGAGCACACCAGCCGCCTAAAGGCCGCCTTCGTGAAGGCGCTGCAGCAGGAACAGGAGATTGAGCAGCGCCTGCTGCAGCAGGGCCCGGCGCCTGCCGTGGCCAAGGCTGAGCCTGCAGCCGCCCCACACCCCGCACTGAAGCAGGTGAGCGCCTACACTGTGCAGTGCCAGCTCCCCGGGAGGAAGACGGGCCTGGTGGCTCAGCCTGGTCCAGTGCTCCCTCGGCCACCTGATTGCTGATTGTGCGGCTCAGTGCACTTCATGGGGTATTGGGTGACAAAAGCACTAATTTGCAGTCTCTTGAGCTTCCTAGCCTCCCAGCAGCATCTTGCCTGGAAAGACCAGAAGCCGTGCTGATGGCAGGGCGTTCAGTAGAACGCGCCCTTGACTAGACAGAGGAGAGAGGCCAGTTTCAAGTCAAGGTTTTTTGTGGATTCTTTTTTATTTTTGTAAGTTGTTTTGTGGTGCTTCTCCTTCCTACTCTCTGTAGCCTGGAAGCTGTGATTTTTGGTCATTTTGTCTCCTCAGAAGGCACTAAACATGTTTTCACATCTCAGGCTGCAGGCGAGCACACTGCTGTCCGCACTGGGCCTGCCCTGAGGGTCCCCTGCACCCACCAGCTTGGCAGCCCCACTGACCCCTTTTGCCCGTCCATGCAGGTCCTAAAGCCCCGGCGCAAGCTGGCGTTCCGCTCGGGAGAGGCACGCGGCTGGAGTAACGGGGCTGTGCTACAGGTCAGAACGCCCCACGCAGGTGCCGCCCGGCGGCCCGGCAGCTGGGAGCTGCCCGTGTCTGTCTGTCTCCGTTTCTCTCTCCCTCGTTCTGTGCCCTGGTGTAATTCACCTAGTCTCCTGATTTTGGACTCTAGGGACCTTGTGCGAGAGTGGGTGGGCAGAGGTCGGCCAGAGCGAGGAGAGGCTGCGCTGAGCAGGCGTCTCGCCGTGCAACCCTTCCCCACCCCGTGAACTGGTGCCCTCTCCCTCTCAGGCCTCCAGCCAGCTGTCCCGGGGCTCGGCTACGACGCCCCGTGGTGTCCTGCACACGTTCAGCCAGTCGCCCAAACTGCAGAACGCAGCCTCGGCCACGGCACTGGTCAGCAGGACTGGCAGACATTCCGAGCGTACCCCAGGCAGCGCCAAGGGCAGCACCGCCACCAACTGGAAGAAGACACCCCTGAGTGCAGGTGAGTGCCTGTGGGCCAAGGGGCCAAACCCTCAGACTGAGAGCAGCACCTTGGCATCCTCTGCACCCCACACTTACACACACCCCCACAGTGGCCCATAGGCCCTGTCAGCCCTGGCCCCAGGCCACTGATCCCAGGAGGGCCCAGTGCATAGCTGGGCAGGAAGGGGTGTAGCAGAGGCTCCCGTGTTCCTTCTGCATGGATAGGACCCAACCCCACATTTCTGCAGTCTGCGGAGCCACTTCCCTGCTTTGGGGTGATGTGGAATGTGTTAGATGCTGCCTGTACACATCCACCAGAAGTGAGAGTGCAGGAGTCAGAGGCTGGGGCTGTGGGCCAAGGCTTTACATCAGTGCTGGGGGCCATGGATATGCCCCGCTGCAGCCTCCCCAAGCGTATGTGGGAGTTGGCCTGATGCAGAGGAGTCTGGGCTGGAGAGCAGAGCCCTCATAGCAGCCAGGCACCAGATTAAGGAGAATTGGGTAGAGAGCCAGCACGGTGATGCATGCTGCTTGGGAGGCTGAGGCTGAGGCAGGGGGTTAAGCTCAGAGGTTCAGCAGGGGTTAATGTAGGAAGTAGGAAGGCACTATACCCAAAAACAGGATCAGGAAAATACAAAGCAGATGTGTAGCTGTGGGTGCCAGCTGTCACCAAACACAGCTCTGGTGGATGTGGGTAGCACGAGGCAGTTTGCTGTGCCCTTCTTGGCTGCAGAGAGAGCACCCCTCTGTCCCTGAGCTGTCACCACAGTAGACAGACTGCACAGAGGCTTCCTGGGGAGACGCAGAATCGCAGGGCCTGGGGTGCTACAGAGTGGGGGTGAAAGCCATTTCCTCATCTCCCAGTCAGAAGGGTGGCATTGGCAGGGCCTGTTGAGTGCACCCTGGGAGGCTGAGACGAGAGGATCCCAAGTCGCAGCCCACCCTGGTCAAGTCAGCAAGACTTTGTCTCAAAAGATCAATCGGGGCTGGACTGAAGCATGGTGAAGACCCTGGGTTCCTCCCGAAGCACAGCAAGGCAAACCAGCCTTTCTGGATGACATTGTTTACAGTGACTTCTGATGTCCATGGTGCCCTCATCCCTCACATGCAGTTCTGTGCCCCGTGTACCCTTGTCCCTCACATGCAGTTCCGTGCCCAGCAGTGCCTTCTTCAAGAGCACCCTAAGGCTGCTGACCCTCTGGTCTGACCTGAGGTGCAGGTACTGGGGGCCTCAGCCTGTGCTCTGAGCCCTACTGGCCGCTGCAGCCCATCCCGCTGTGTTGCAGGTGGGACCCTTGCATTCGTTGGCCCCAGCCTGGCTGTGCACAAGTCATCCTCGGCCGTGGACCGCCAGCGCGAATACCTCCTGGACATGATCCCACCGCGCTCCATCCCCCAGTCCGCCACGTGGAAATAGTGCAAGCTGGCCCGGTGGAGGACTGGCGACCTCTTCTCCGCCCGCACTGGCCTGCAGGCCCGGCCGCCAGCCCAGGCAGCTGAGCTCCGTCCCGTCCTCCGCCTGGTCTGGTCCCGGTGGGGCAAGGGGCCACTCCCCGGCAACGAGGGTCAGAACTGAGGGGCCTTCCCCTGGGCTTTCTTCCTTCCTCTCTTTGCCTTTAGTTTGCCCGACACCAGCAGAAATGTGGACCTCAGGGCCGGCTCTGGCCCCAGCCTGGCCCGGGCCCGCCACTCCCTGGACACTGGCGCCTGCAAAGCTGGGCTGGGGCTCGGAGGCCGAGCGGGGTGCCGTGTTTCTTTATGCTTCTCCCCGTCTTAGGCCCCCGACCTTCTCTTCCCTTCATGCCAATCTATAGGTTGAAAGTTGTGTTTGTTTTGTTTTGTTCTGATCACCTCACGATGATGGAGTTGAGAGTAGAGCTCAGGGCCGCGCTGCCCGGGCAGCTGTGGACAGAGGGATGGAAGCCTCACTGCTGCTCTTTCAGGGCCCTGGGGTCCCCACACCCACACTGGGCAGAAGAACACACTGCAGCCAGCTCCGGTGGCCCAGGCCCTGGGCAGGGCCAGAAGAGGAAGGGCCACAGCCGGGGAGGCATAGGTGGGCTGTGTGGTGGTGGATTATTTTATTAAATTTTCCTTTCTACTTGTTTTGATGGACACAATCTCAAGCCGCCCCACTGAGGCATGGTGCAGGGGTGGGGCGGCCCGGCCGGGCTTGCTCAGCCTCAGCGTATCTAGGACCCGGCCCTTGGGTGGAGCTGCTGTCAGGGTTTGCTCCCCATTTCTTTTCTCCCCTGTAGTCTGCAGAGGCGTTTTTAAAGGATCAGGTCTGCTTTCAGTTTGGTTTCTGGCCCCTCCCGCTCTGCACACGGGTTTGCCAGGAAAGGCAGAGCCGCTGGTCTGCGGCCGCCCACCCATTCCCCTGCTCATGCAATTAGGGACTTTAATTTAAGCCTCGTTCTGTAGGACGTCCTCAGACACCTGCGGCAGCCAGCGTTCTAATAAAGGCTCATTTAACCCTCGCTCCCTCGAGGCGTGTGAGTGTCGTCAGTCTTGGGAAGCCGCTTGCCATCCAGCAAAGGACCTTGTGTGGAAATGGTCTTGGGCACGTGCTGCACCAGCCCGAGTCTCATGGACTTCCACTGCAGTGTGTAACTTCCCTGGGCTGCAGGTGCGGGCACAGAAGGGCAGCTTCACCCGAGAGCTGGGGACCTGGGCAGGAGGCAGTAGGCTCTGATTGAAGGGGAAGGTGTGTTCTACACCAAATAAAAGTGTGCAAGCGCCTGCTCCTCAGTTTTGCTCTGTGCCTGGCAAACAGCACGGGCTTCTCCCGCCCTGAGCCCACTCCTTCACTATGCAGTTACCTGGCCAGGTTGCCTGCCCATCCGGCCAGGCCTCTGTCCCCTTGGGGACTCAGGTTGGAGGCGGGGCGGCCAGGCTGGGAATACCCACTCCCACAAGGGCCAACACTGTGACGTGATACAGCTTTTTTAAAAGTACAGGGGATAAGAACGTGAAGATGCCTTAATCATTCACTCTTGCGTCTGCAGAGCCCTGCTCTCCCTGTCTCAGTGTGACTGGGACAGTGCACCCCAGTGGGTGACCCAGGACGTTTCTACCCTGCTGGCAGCCTGGCCCAGCATTCCCATGGGCTGCAGTGGGGCCGTCTCAGGAAAGTGGGTTATCAGCATGAATTCAGGGGTGTCCCACCAGCCACAGGATGCACCCCTCAAAACCCAGCTGTTGTCTCCAAAGTTCTGGGGTCTGGCAGTGACCCTGGAGCCTGTGGAGACCCAGCTCTGGTCTCGAGGCAGACAGCAGCCATTATAAGGGTCATTGACAACACAAAACCCAGGTGACGGTGCTGCTTCTGAGTTGCTGTTCTGTTGGGGGTGTGGGACAGGTCACTGGAAGCCCCCCAAGGGGATCAGTCTGACATGGCAAGTGGGTGTGTCCCTGTGGTGGTGACCTCTTGGGTAGACGCAGCTGCCTGTTGGGATTCTCTGGTGCCATGGTGCTGCCCAGGATGTGGCTGGGAACCCAGACTGAGCTCTCCCCCAACTTCCTAACCGGTTTGGCAGGTGGCCCTGCTAGTGCAGGGTATGGGGGCGCTGAGGGGAGGTCATCACCTGTGTGTACTGTGACTATAAACCTGATGATAAATGTAAAAGATGTTGGCCGCCGATTTGGAACAGAACTACCCACAAACTGGCAGCCAGCGTCAGCGGCCCTGCACTGTATGGTGAGGGCCCTGGGACCTGGGGTTAGGACAATAAAGGACTGGATGAGTCCCGAATCTCTGTGTCTCCTCCTCTCTCTCGGCCCTGGTCTCTTGGGTGCTCAGGTCTGAGCCTGGCTTTGGCGGGGACTCGGGTCCCGGGGTCGGTGGGAGGGCCCTGCCTTGGTCCAGGCCAGATAGCCACGTAGCCCATGTGGGCACAGGGTGAGCCCTGGTGTGTCTGCTCCCAGGTGGCCTGGACCCCTGCAGCCTCACACTGGGGTGTGGGCTTCTCTGCATGAAGTGGCTTTTTTCCTGGGTGCCCTGGAGCGAGGTTATGTTGTTTTACAGCCTGTTTCTTTCCCCTCAGCACCGGGAATTGAGCCCAATGCCTGGTCACACCAGGAAAGTGCTTTGACACTGACCTACAGCCTGCTGGGCCCCCACCACACCTCTGAACTAATCCATGCCTGTTCAGCACTGGCCTGGGACTTGAAGTTCTTTAGTGTTTAGGCCCGACACTGGCCCATCCATGGGTCAATCAGGTGCAGGTGCGGGGTGCAGGGGGCACAGGCTCTGGTCCCTGCAGGCACAGATGGGAGGAGCCCTGAGCTCTACCAGCTCCTGTGCTGCTGCTAGCATTGTGGTCACCAGTGCTGGGGGGGCAATGCTGGCCCACTCCTTTTTATATGTTTACTGCACAGGTGAGGACTGAACTCAAAACTATACTCCCAGCCTTAGACTCTTGAGACAGGGTCTCCACTGAGTTGCTAAGCTAAGCTCAAAACCGAGATGCTCCTGCATAGCTGGGATGACATGTGTGAGCCAACCATGAGAGCAGAGGTGATGCCAGGAGGGTAAACATTCTGTGCAAAGGGCCCAGAGGCGAGACCAAGCAGGGAAGACTAGGAGCAAAGAGCACTTTGTGAGGTTGCTCCCCGGGGAGACAGGGAGGCTGTGGGCCACTTTCTCCCCTTTGTTTTGCTTGGGAGAGGGTCTCAGGCCGCCCTGGCTGCTCTCCAGCGCTCCTGTGGCCTCTGCCTCCCAAGCGCTGGATCGCAGGCGAGCTCCCTACACCCAGTCTGGACTGGCCCCCCACATATGCACTTCCCCACTCCCGAGACAAGGGCCCCTTAACAGAGGATGGTGTTTTGTGCACAGCCCTGACCTCATCCAGCACCACCTGCAAATGGGGAGGGTTTGTGTGTGCTGGGAGCTGGCCCTCCCGCCGGGGAGTTCATGAATGGGGGGGGGGGTGAAGGTAGGGATGGGGGGAAGAGGCTGGCACTGCAGACACCCACGTTGGGAGTGCTGTGCACGCAGATGAACAAGATGAGGCCAGGAGGGATGACAGCTGCGGTCGCCAAGCCCAGTCACCGCCCCGGCGCTCCCTCCTAAGCGCACCTCCAGCCCCCAACCCCCCTCCTACCAGGCTGCGAAGGGTGCGGACCCTACCCAGGCTTCCTCCCTTTCCGGAAGTTGGATGCCATCCCGGAAGTCGCCCCTCTACCTCCACCCCCTTGGGGTTTGCTCAGCTTCCAGTCTTCCTCCCCTGCGGTCTTTGACCTGTCACCTGCTTCTCCTGAGACAGGCATGGACCCCCTGGGCCAGGCGCACAGCAGGAGCTCGGAAAGCCCCGGGGACGGGGGGGGGGGGGGCTGTTCCAGGATGGGGCTCCCACCCCTACTCCCACCAGCTGCCCTGGGCGGGGCCCTCACCAAGCGAGGTTTTTCCCATCTCCCCCACTTAAGTATGGTCGGGCGATCAAATCCCAGCTGTCCTTGGGCACATGCCGCCTTGTGGGCCTCAGTTTCCCCATCTGTAAGTGATCGAAATAAGCAATTCCCACTGGGGCCGCGCCTCGGTCCCACTGCTTCCTAGCCCAGTGCCACTGCGGCCCTAGGGACAACAAACTCCTTTGGGTTCGCCCAGGGTGGGGTGCAGGGAGGATCCGAGTCAGCCCTCCCAACAGGCTTGACAGGCCTGAACACACACTCTCCATCTCACTTTCTCTGAAATGGGGGTGCTGCGCCCACTCTCCTTGGGGAGCGGCCCTGCCTCCCTGCTACGTAAACAGGTGCGGCGGCGCGTGCGAGGAAGAGCGAGTTTATTGCAGGCTCCAACAGGAAACCTGGCGCCAGCTGCTGGCTCGGGAGGGCGGCCTCTGAGTGGCCGCCACTTCACGCAGCCACCACCGCGGGCGGTCGCATAGTCACCGCCCATTCCTCACAGGCCAACGCTCCCGGCTCCTCCTCTCCTGTCCCTCGGGGCGCCTTTGCCCGGGGAATCGAGGATGCACTCGCGCTTTCGGCTCGCTCTCGGGGTCAGGGAGAAGGAACTAGGAGTCACGGGCTGGGGTGGGGGAAGGGGAAAGGTGCGCGTGTGTGCTCAGTGGCGCGCTGAGGCATAGCGAGGGCGTTGCTGCCTGTCCCAGGCGGCGCCCCGCTTCTGCCCGCGCGCGGGCCCGCCAGCTCGGTGCGGCCCTGGAACCCCGGCTCCTAGCCGGAGTCCCCCGAGCGCAGCCAGCTGTGGCGCACGACGTGACCCGCCGAGGGCCTGGCGGAGGGGCTGAACTGGAGCAGCTCGGCGATCAGCGCCTTGCAGCGCTCTGACAGCTCGAGGCCCTCCGGGTAGAGCACGCCGCGCTTTTGGCGCCGGGGCAGGCCGGCGATGTCCGAGTCGTCAAAAGGCATGCACCCGGTGACCATGACGTAGAGTACGACGCCCATACTCCACACGTCGTACTTTTTGGGGTCGTAAGGGATGCCCAGCAGCACCTCGGGAGACGCGTAGGCGGCCGAACCACAGTAGGTGGTGCTCAGGTCCGGGTAACCGTGCGCCTGCCGGCCGAAGCTGAAGTCGGTGAGCTTGACGCGGCGCTCGTCGGGACTCAGCAGCACGTTCTCGCACTTGAGGTCGCGGTGCACCAGGTGGTGATCGTGCAGGTAGCGCACAGCACCCGCGATCTGCGCGAAGAGGTCGCGCGCCTGCGCCCCGGGGATGCGACCGTTGCGCTGCACCGCTTGCAGCAGATCGGTTGCTGCCGCCTCCATGACGATGTACAGCTTCCCGTTGCACACCTCGATGAACTCGAAGACGTGCACGATGTGCGGGTGTCGTACGCCCCGCAGGATGGACAGCTCCCGCGGCAGGAACTTGTTGACGAAGTCTGCCGGCGCGCGCCGCCTGTCCACCACCTTGATGGCCACCGTACCCTTGTACTTCTTGGAGGTGGCCACCTTCACCTTGGAGTAGCTGCCCTCACCGATCGTGCGACCCAGTTTATAGCCGAGTTCGCTCAGGAGTTTGTCGCCCGACATGGTGGCGCCCGGGGGCGCGCGGGGAGCAGGAGGCGGCTGCTGTCGGGGGGCGGCCGGACTCCGATTTCGGGCCTAACCCATGGCGCTCCGCACCTGCACCCCCGCGCCCCCATGCGCCCACTCCACGGACCCCGCCGGCGCCGAAGCTTGTATCGCCTGGGTAACAATTTCTGCCTTGTGAAGTGACCGCGGGCGTCACTCTCGCGGACCCCACCCCAGGGCTCCTCCCTAAGGCCTCGCGCTTTGTGACTCAGTGGCCCCACGGTCAGTTCCGACAAGGCGCCAGCGGAGGGCACCAGCCAACCCTGGGGAGCGGAGTCTGCTCCTGGGATTGGGGCGCTGTCTCCAGAGTTCCCCAAACTCTATGTGCCCATCTGGTGACCACGTGGAGCCCTCAGGTGACCGCAGAGACCCCGAGGGGGGAAACGGGGGCTGGGGTTACAGGGGGCCCTGGCTCCTGGGAAGTTCCAGGTTTGCCTGCTCTGCGCAATTCCTGAGGTAAGGTCCAGAGCGCCTGGCACACTATGGGTGCCAATCATGACTGAGTCTCGCTGGTTCAGGAGGAACAGCAGGTGGAGCCAAGCCCCGCCGCCTGATCTCTTCAGAGGCAAGGCAGAAGTGGGACCCGAACTTTAGGCCCGCAGGCTCGCAGAACACCTTCACTGCAGCTTCCGCCACACTCAGCATGGCGGAGGGTTGTGCGTCATTTCCTTCCGGGATCGGAAGTGCGGGGTCCTGCAATAATGGCGGCGGCGAAGGTGAAGCAGGACATGCCCCCACCTGGGGGCTACGGCCCCATCGACTACAAGCGGAACCTACCGCGCCGAGGACTGTCGGGTCAGTGAGTGTCGCCATGCGCAACTGTCTCAGGGTCTGGACCCTTTGGCGTGCTATCGCAGGGGCGGGAGCCGGCGATACGAGCGGGCCTCAGTCGACCCGAAGTTGTGAGCTGAGATAGAGCCGCGGGTCCTTGGTGGCTTTAGTAAAAAGATGATAAAAAGATGATAGCCGCTGAGTAATTACATGTTAGGTCTCAGCTTCCTTCCTCCCTTCAGCCCGGGAGATTGGTTCCCCTTTTACAGTGAATTAAACTGAGGCTGCGACAGCCCCAGGGTCACCTAAGGCATGCTGGGACCCGAACCCAGGGAGACTTTCTAAATTCTGTGCCAGGGTCTCCCTCACAGCCCCTCCCCCGGTTATTGCCCCAGGAAACAGTATGAATTTTTGAAACATTTTAGTTGACGTTTAAATTCCATTATTGGGTTTATCACAGGTAATTATAAAAGAGAATATGAAAGGCACCTACACTGAGCCCTCAGAATTAATGGAAATTCGAAAATTTAAAGGCAGTTTAAGATGAGTGTAGTGGTCCATGCCTGTGACCCCAGCATTCCAGAAGCTGAAGCAGGAGGATTACCACAAGTTGCATGTATATGTACCACAAGTTCTATTATATGTAGCCCGGGCTACATATATAATGGAAAGCTAAGCTAAACTACATAGTGAAACTATTTTGAAAAAAAGAGTAATTTAAGATTGAGTATACTGTAATTTATTGAACTTTACAGTTAAAAACCTGTGCCTTAAAAAGCCAGGCATGAGGGCTGGGGATTTAGCTCAGCAGCATAAGCGCCTGCCTTGCAAGCAGTCAGTCGTGAGTTCGATCCCCGGTTCCGATAAAAAAAGAAAAAGACAAAAAATAAAAAATAAATAAAAAAGCCAGGCATGAACCAGGCGTGGTGGCTCACGCCTGTAATCCCAGCACTCGAGAGGCTGAAGTGGGAGGATTGTTGCGAGTTCGAGACTAGCCTGGGCTACAAAGTGAGCTCGAGGCCAGCCTGAACTACATAGCGAGAGCCTGTTTCAAAAAAGACAAAAAAAAAAAAAAAAAAGTCAGGCATGGTGGCTCACACCAGTAATGCCAGAACTCGGGAGGCTGGAGCAGAAGAATCCTTGCAAGTTCAAGACCAGCCTGGGCTACAAAGCGAGCTCAAGGGCAGTCTGAATTGCATAGTGAGACCCTGTCTCAAAAAAAACAAAACAAAAACTGTGCTTTGCTGATCCTGGTGGTTCATGCCTGATGGTTGCAAGTTCAAGGCCAGCCTGGATTACACAGGGAGACCCTGTCTCAAACAAAACAAAATAACCAAAAAAAATCCTGTGTGTGTTACACATACTATGTTTCAGTTAAAAGACAAATTCAAGACAAATGTAAGAGCTGGGCATGGTGGAGCTATGCCTGTTATCCTAGCACTTGGGAGGCTGAGGCAGGAAGCTTGCTGTAAATTAGAGGCCACAGACCACTGAACAGCCAGTTACTGAACCCAGGGGATCAAACAAAGACTGAGCCACTGCAGGGATGACTTCCTCTGTCGTCCTCAGTACCTTAAGAATGTGTGATTAGGAGGCTGCTGAGGAGGGCAGCACCTGGTACAACAGGAGGCCCCCATATTAAGAACCAAAAGAAGATAGGGTAAAAGGTGTGTGTTAAAAATAGAGCCCTAGGAGCTGGGGATTTAGCTCAGCGGCATAAGCGCCTGCCTTGCAAGCAGGCAGTCGTGAGTTCGATCCCTGGTACCGATAAAAAGCAAAAAAAGACAAAAAAAAAAAAAAATATATATATATATATATATAGAGAGAGAGAGAGAGCCCTAATTGGATGTGGTGGGGCACACCTGTAATCCTAGCAAGGTGGCAGACTGAAGCAAAAGGACCGCAAGGGAGTCCAGCTGGGCAATATAAAAGGCCCTGTCTCCAAAATAAATAAAAACAAAAAGCCCAACAGGGTGGTGCATGCCTGTGATCCCAGCACTCAGGAGGCTGAGGCAGGAGGATGTCAGAAGTCAAAGCAGCATCTGCTACACAGTGAGTTCAGAGACCTAGCCTGAATAAGCTAGTGAGATCCTGAGAAAAATTAGAGGAAAAAGTCTTTGAAGAGCCTGCTTCCACACCCAGCCTTCAAATCACACTGTATTCCTTCAGTCCCAAACCCACCACGCAGGCTGTTGCATGGCCCCACACTGAGAGCATTTTACTTGCTGGGTGTGGTGGTGCATGCCTATGAAAAATCTCAGCACTTAGGAGGCTGAGGAGGGGGATTGCCATGAATTTGAGGCCAGTCTCAGCTACCTAGTGAGTTTCAGGTCATCCTGAACTGCATTACAAGACCCTCTCCCAAACTCCCTCCCCCCCAGTTTTTTTTTTATGTTTGGAAAAGGTTGTCCTGGTAGCTGATCTCTATGGCCTTGAAGTCGCTGAGATGTTTTTGGTTTGCTTTTTGTAGTATGGTGGTTGGAACCCAGGGCTTGTGTAGACAAAGGCAAGGGCTGCCTCATTCATTCCCCCCCCCCCCCCCCCGCCTTTTTGGTACTGGGAATCAAACTTATGACCTCTGGCTTGCCAGGCGGACCCTTATGCCACTGAGCTAAATCCCCAGCCTGTCCCACTCATCTATACCTTCATTCCTGTCTACTTTTCTTATTTATTTATTTAGTTGTTTTCATTTTTGTTTTATTTTTTGCAACAGGGTCTTGCCATGGAATGCAGGGTGGCCTCACCACCGCATTCAGAGATCCTCCTGCCTCAGCCTCCCACGTGCTGGGATGACAGGCCTGTGCATCACCATGCCTGGCTACTTTTTTGTTTTGCTTTGTTTTGTTTTTTGAGACGGGGTCTCAATGAGTTACTCAGGCTGGACTTAAACTTGCCAGTTTTCTGCCCCCTGGCCTGGGTCCATCCTAGGTTTCCTTCTAAGACAGTGGGTTTCAGCTCTCACATTCAGACCTGTGATCCAGTGTGAGTTAATTTCTCTGTATGACATAAGGACACAGCCTGTCCCTGCTCTGCACGTGGCTGTCCAGTTGTCCCATTTAGTGAAAAGCTTGTTCTTTCCCATTGAATTGCCTTGGCAGCCTTGTCCAGAATCAATTGACCATAAATATGAGGGTTTATTTCTGGACTCAGTTCTGTCCTGACACTGAACGTGTCCTTGTGTGCCAGGACCACACTGTCCTGTACACACAGCTGCATGGTGTGTGGGGGACTAGGAAAGTGGGGGTTCTGCCACTTTGTCCCACTTCTTCAGAGTCATTTTGGCTGTTCTGGTCTCAGCATTTCTACCTGAGCCCTGTGGGAAGGGAAATACATATTCAACATTGCATCGATCTAGGGAATGTTACCAGCTGCTCAAGGCTGCATGTTCTCATCTCATCTATGAACTTATTGAATTTATTTTTTTCTTGTTGTTTTGTTTTTTGGTACTGGGGATGGAACCCAGGGCCTTCTCATTGAGCTACATTCTCAGCTCCTCCTTTCTTTTTTTGAGGCAGAGTTTCACTAAGTCACCTGGGCTGTGTTCAAGTTTGCAATCCTCCTGCATCAGCCTCTAAGAGTGCTGGGATAACACGTGTCCACCCAACACTACCCTGAGCAGGCTGAATTATGCCATAGAAATCAGAACTACTTTCTCATTCACTTCTGGATCTAGCAGAGGGGTCTGGAAAGAGAACAGTGACATTGGCCACCCTCAGGACACCCTGAGTGGGGACCCCTGAGCCACCCCAAGTCCTGGGTGGGTCTTACGCAACATCACACTGTCAGTCAGTGGTCACCTACTGGATGTGAACTGGAGCAGTGGGTCTCTCCTAGTAGCCAGCAGGCCCTAAAGAAGGAGACTGGGCTGGAAATTAGGTTCTGGCCTCAGGAAGTCAGCCCCATAGCCACCCTCAGGAATGGAATCAGGATTAGTTAGGATTAGAGCCAGCCTCCTGCTGGCCCTCCATAGATATTTATGGCACCTCTGTCCCTCCCCTGGAGTGCCCAGGCCTGACCCCCTGGGCCAGGAAGTCACAGTGCCACCATGGGGCTCTGTCTTTCTCTCGTGGCTACATTGTGTCCTTGTGTACAGCATACAGGGTAGTGGCCCAGAGTGCAGAGCAGGTGGCCACAGATGAGGTCCCTGCCATGTCCTAAGGATCTATCTTGCCTCCAGTCACTCTGGCCAGGATGTGCCAGAGTGGCCCGGGAGTAACTGTACCCTTCATCTGACTGTCCCTGCAGGATACAGCATGTTTGCCCTGGGCATCGGGACCTTGCTGTATGGGTACTGGAGCATGACAAGGTGGAATCGTGAGCGCAGGTAGTGCCTGGCTGAGGGGGTGTGTGGGTCTCCTTGGTGTGGGCGTGAGTCTCCTGGAAGAGTCCTGTCACTGGGGCTGGTGATGCTGGGCACAGGCAGCCTTGGCCTTAGCCATGCAGCCCAGGCCCCACAATGGTCCAAGCCTGGTGTGTGTTTCTAAGCTTCAGAAAGGCCCAGCAAGCAGGGAGCTGGTGGCCAGGTGTCCACAGCCCGCTTTGGGCTGCCAAGGCCTGGAGTGTCCTGTGGGCAAGTGGGCGACATGGCCATTTGGCAGGCTTCTTTTGGGGTCACTGGTCAAGCCCAATCATCAGGACATGAAAACCAGGCCACACTGGTGGGGGCTGCAGAGGCCAGAGGATCAAGGCTATAACTCTGCTCTGGGCTGCCAGGCTGCCCCCTGTCAGTGGGCATCTTGGAAACTGCTGAGTGCGGCAGAAGAGAGGACCGTGCTCTGGTTATTTTGAGACAAGGGGACATGGTTCAGTGAGTCCCAGAACCCCGTGATCACTGTGTTCCCCCTCATTCATGAAGGTCACCAGGAAGGGCAATTTCTAGAGGGAAAAACTTTTTAATTGCAAAGGAAGTGAAGAAAGTTGGAAGCCAACAGTCCTGTGTGCCTGCCTGTGCCAGTGCCCGCCCCCACCCACCCTGGCCTCACCCCTCTCACCACCACACTGCTTGTGACTCCCTGTCGCCTTTGCTGTTGACAGGCGCCTGCAGATCGAGGAACTGGAGGCCCGCATCGCCTTGATGCCACTGTTCCAGGCCGAGCGGGACCGCAGGTAGGGTTGCCTGGCACAGGGCATCTGTCAGCTGCATCCCTTGGGAGCAGGCCAGAGACTTGATCTACAGGAGACCTTAGAGAGGAGGACAGGAAGGCTTCCTGGAGGAAGAGGCACCAGGGCAGGGACAGGAGACAGGATAGAAGTTTGCCAGAGAGAAGGACAGGGATACTCGAGCTTAGCATGATTGCCAACCTTTCCTCCCACCTCCTCAGGAGGCCGAGGCAGGATGATTGCAAGTTTTAGGTCAGCCTGGGTAACTTGGTTAGACCGAGTCTCAAAATACAATGTTAAAACAGGGCTGGGGTGATGGCATAGTGGTGAGTGCCTGCCTAACATGCATCAGGCCCTGGGTTCCATTCCCAGCATGGGAAAAGAAAAAAAGGAAAGGGAGGGCCAAGGAGGGGCAGTGGGGCCCCCGGGGTGCTCACCCCACCCCTCCCTATCCTTCCCCAGGGTCCTGCAGATGCTGCGGGAGAACCTGGAGGAGGAGGCCATCATCATGAAGGACGTGCCGGGCTGGAAGGTGTGTAGCCCGCCCCCCAACCCCCCCCCCACGTCCCCCCGCCCCCTCCCCCAGAGTGGGGTGAGGGGGGCAGGGCCGGCGAGGGAGCCTCCTCCTTGAGTCCTTCGTCCTTGTCCCCAGGTGGGCGAGTCCACATTCCACACCACGCGCTGGGTGCCCCCGCTTATCGGTGATCTGTACGGACTGCGCCCAGCCGAGGAGGTCTTCAACGCCAGCTTCGGATTCATGTATTTCTCATCATAGGGGAGTAAATGCTTGTGCCCTGCCAGCTGTCTGTCTGTCTTTAGACACCCACAAGTGTGCACCCCCGACCCCTGGGGGATCACCATCAGTTGGGTCCCTCCTACCGACACCGGCCTGAAGGGAGCTGTGGGTGGCCCCAGGGCAGGATCCCCCTGCCTTGAGTTGTCACTCAGTACTTTCCCAGACCTAGTTTCCTGCCTCTGTCCCTACTGTGTGCTTCTCTGGGCCTAGCAGACTGCTCCGTTTCTAGGATCAGGGGGTTAAATTGGCCCGCACGCATTGCCCAATGGGCACGTGCAGCGCCTTCGCGGCGCCTCCTAATTGGCAGATGCCCGGAATGGGCGGGGGAGAGTGGGGTCGCCCCGCCTACCGGGCTTCACTTAAAAAGGCCCTGGTGCCAGAGGCCGGCGCATCCGCTCTCCCGCACCATGAGTCGCGCGGAGCCCGCGGAGGCGTCTGAAGAGCGCAGTTTCCTCAGGTCAGCGGGCAGAGGGGCGGGCTGGGAGGGCCCTGGGTCTGAGGCGGGCGGGCAAAGCTGGGCCGGGGTAGCTGTGCCTCTGATGGAGAGAACCCGCAGTGCCTCCCAAGCCGCGTTGCCGTTGGGGGGCGGGGGGAGACGCATCCGTCCCACCGGCCCTTCATGAATATTCATCAGCACCTGCACCGAGCCTCACCACCGCTATCCACTATCCGGGATGCGCGGGTCCCCCTAGGGATTTTTCCTGCTTATAAAACATGCAGAGGAGGAAACAGGCCCGGGGAGAGTTCTGTCTGAGCCACAGCCAGGGCTGATTTGAGCAGCGGGCTACAATTGTTAGGTTGGCAGCTCCCGGGCACGTGGGAGGGGTGGGCAGTGTCGCAGGTGCATTGAGGTCTTGAGTTGTGGTCTGGTCTTAAGGGCGCCTGAGCAGCCTGAGGAATCCTGTTTCCCCGGGAAGTGGCCCAGTTCCCTTGGACCCAGGCAGCCTCAGGGTGGGGGCTGAAGTCAGAGGGGGAAAGAGGCACCCAGAGAACGAAGCCTCCAGCGGCCCACAGCATCAAACGGCCCTGCCCCGTCTGCCCCATTTACCTTGGCTCAGAGCTGCTGCCGCCACCAGCCAGGCCTCCCCACTAACAGCAAAATGCCCACTTTGAAGAAGATAAAAGTTCCAGGTGTCCAGGAGGGGCAGCAACGAGAAAGGGCAATGGCGTCCCAATTTGTGGGTCCCTCAGCCTGAGCCCGAGTGTACCTCCTAGCACGTGCACGTGCTTTCCCCGATTGAGGCCAGCGGCACCCCAGGCACCCCCTCCATTTGCCTCCATTCTCACCTTCCTCCTCCAGCAGCCACAGATGCAGACCCAGCATCCTGAGCTCCCCAGGCAGCTGCCTTCTCCACCTCCTGAGCCCTCCTGGTGGCGTTTCTCCCAGGTCACAATCCCCGGGAAGTGTTCAGTTATCCCCGCACACCCATGCTGAGCAGGGGAGGAGTCCACTTGGGGGGCCAGCACCAGCAGGCCTCACCCCTCTCTGGCGTTCCCATTTCTGCTAATTGTCCCCCTGCTGGCCCATAGCCCGGGGCTGCTTTAGCATCCCGCTGTCTCACAGGCCCCAATGGCTTCTGAGCAAGGGTCCAGTTTTCACCATGCCAGGCCCTCCTGCTCAGAGAGGTGGACATGAACCCTGGCTGTTGAACAGCAAGCAAGTGGCATGACAGCTTCACCTCAAGCCATGTGACCACAAATATGTTAACTTTCTCGCTGCACCTGAAGAGGTCACAGGCACCATGTCCACTTCTGAGCCGTCAGAACTGCAGCTGAGCGTGGTGGCAGCCGCCTGTGACCCTAGTGCTCAGAAGGCCGAGGCAGAAGACAGCAAGTTCAGACCAGCCTGGACCCCACAGCGAGACCCAGACTCCGATACCCGCCCTGCCCAGACCGTGCAGCTTGCCCACCCCTGCGCTCCCTGGACCTGGTCCCACCGCCCCATGCAAATCCTTCGAACTTCTCTGTGCGGGCCTCCAGCGAGGGGCCTGGAAGCACTTTCAGCCGCCATGCGCAATTTTGGCCACCAGAGGGTGCTCGCGTCCCGGTCTTCGGCTCCAACTTCCCACGGGCTGTTGTCACCCGGGTGCTGAGGAGGAGGAGGATCCCCAACGCTGGGGTAGCGGGTGAGGGGTTGGCTCTGCACCATGGAGTCCAAGCTGGTCTGTCGGGACCGCGGGGGGCTCCGCGTATCCATCCCCTCCCCTCTGTCCCCAGCGCGGCGGAGGCGGCCGCCCTGGAGCGGGAGCTGCTCGAGGATTACCGCTTCGGGCGGCAGCAGCTGGTGGAGCTATGCGGACACGCTAGTGCGGTGGCCGTGACCAAGGTAACCAACCCCAGCCTTAGGATGGTGGGCTCAGAGACAGAGAGGCGGCGCTGCGGTGAGGGCTGGGGGGAGGGTAGGGGTGCAGCTGGTGCTGGGGGAGGCCCTTGCCTTGCGGGCTTGAGGGCGGTCGCGGTGTCTGGAGGCTGGGCCAGCACCCGCGGTGAAGTCGCTCCCTCCCCGAGGCTTGCTGTGGGGTCATCCGCTGGCCGTGGGGTCCCTGGGAGAGAGGGCAAAAAATCCGTGCACAACCACCACCACCTGCACTGGCCGGGCGCCTTTCCTTCCTTCTCCTGCCTTCTCCTTTCTCCCCCCACCCCCCAACTCCTGTGGCTCTTTAACAGCAGCTGGGTGTCTTTCTCCACCTAGACCCGAACTTTTCCTTTCTCACTCAAGTGCGTTCCCGAGCAAAATGCGGCCTGGGCAAGGCAGCAGCCCGACATCTCCCTGGGTTCCGCTCCCTGGCGTCGGCTTCTCCCTGATGTGGGCTAGGCCGGGTGTGGCTGAGTCAGGCTTGCTCCGCCCGGGCCCTCGTGGGGAGACAGCTCCCTGGTATTTGGTCGCTTGGGTTTGGTGAAGGCAAAAGTGAGGCTGAGGCGGGGAGGCTGGGCCCGGAAACCTGAATTTAAGCTAAGAAGGCAGTGATGTTTCACGCCTGTCTCCCGTACCCAGGAGGCTGAAGTAGGAGGTCACGAGTTCGAGGCCAGTCTGGAGCAATTTACTAAGACCCTGCTTCAAAATAAAAAGGGCTGGGACGTAGCTGAGCGCTCACACGGCCATGGAGGCGCGGAGTAACTGAGACAGATGGTCTGGGTGGATGGGGCTGCCTCCCTCTTCCAGCTCCGCACACCCCTGGCCGGGAAACTCGGGCAGAGCGGGGCGGCCACCGCTGGAAAAAGTGGACAGAAGTGCTGTCTGCGGCTCTGGCAAGGCCCCGCAGACTGCGTGGGTCGGGGCGAGGGCCTGGAGGTGCACTCCTCTCCCGCCTTTGAGCCGGGATACCTCTCTTCTGGCCCTGTCCTGTGACCCCCTCCAGGCCCAGGTCCCTCCCCCAGGCCCCCTTCCAGGCCTGTTTGCCCTCGTGGCCGGGAAGGACGCCCCCTCACCAGCCTGCGCCCTTGCTGCCCTCAGGTGTTCCCTTTGCCCGCGCCCTCCCGGAAGCAGAGGACCGTGCTGGTCGTATGCGGGCCCGAGCACAACGGGGCAGTGGGGCTGGTCTGTGCCCGGCACCTGAGGGTGTTTGTGAGTAGCGGGGAGCCCCAGACTCACCCTGACTCCGTCCCTGTGGAAAGCACTTCCTCCCCCTGCTAGAGCCTCAGGGGACCAGGACAGGGATAGTCGGGATGGGGATGCTGCCAGATCCCCGACAGAACCCTCCCCCCTGCCTCTTCCTGCCCAGGACTATGAGCCCACCATCTTCTACCCAACGCGCTCGCAGGACCCGTTGCACCGCGACCTGACCACACAGTGCGAAAAGATGGACATCCCCTTCCTGTCCTACTTGCCCGCCGAGGTGGGCAGTGGTCCTCGCAGGGGCGGGGGACAAGGGCTGGGCCTGTCACCACCTGTCACCACCTTGACCGCACCGCCCTGCAGGTGCAGCTCATCAACGACGCCTATGGGCTAGTGGTGGACGCCGTGCTGGGCCCCGGCGTGGAGCCCGCTGCGGTCGGGGGGCCCTGCACCCGTGCGCTGGAGACGCTGAAGCTGCTGTCCATCCCCCTCGTGAGCCTGGACATCCCCTCAGGCACGAGGGCAGGGGTGCGGGTGGGCGCTGGTGCTGGGGGAGGCTTTTGCCTGTCTGCCTGCTCGTAGCCTCAGTTTCCCCAGCCGGGCTGGAGCACGCTGTCCGGCTGAGTACCGGTCCACAGAATGGGAGGCTGTCCCGCTCCCAAGGCCCCACCCTGGAGGCCGCTGCCTACCCCCTGGCCCCCTGGCCTGGGAAGACGTGAGCTCACTTGGCAGAGGCCGCGCTGCCCTGGCCGCCGCCCTGTGCCTGCTGGAGCCATTAGGGAGGGAGGACGGGATAAACAGCGGCTGGCAGGACCCTCCGCGGGTGGCTGCGCTCTGGGGGTGTCCCCCTGCGGTCAGAATCCCGGCCGCCCCTGCGGGTGCCGCAGGGTGGAGTCAGCAAGTGGTCTTGCAGCTGGGATGTGAGGCGCTGGCGTCCAGGGTGGGGGCTGGGCTGGGGGAAGAGCTGGTGGCTCGTGACACGAGGCTCTAGCTTCAGGTGAGGCTGAGGGGGTTCATTCACGAGGGGACAGAGGTTGCGATCTGTTGATGGGGGGGCCCTGAGGCCAGTCAGAGGGACTGCAGTCTGGCCACGAGGGAAGAGGCTGCCACGGAGCGACAGGGGCGGGAGGCAGGGCTGGGGCGCCCCTTCGGAGGCCAAGGGTGGGAGAGACCTGGTCAGAGGGCGGGAGTGGGCGCAGTCAGGACCCCACGACAGTGTCGAGGCTGGGTCCGGAGGGGAAGAAGGATGCGGGGGGGCGCAGTTCCCATCTCCGATTCCCGGTCCTCAGGCTGGGATGCCGAGACGGGCGGCGGGGAAGCCGAGGACGGGCTGCAGCCAGACGTGCTGGTGTCGCTGGCGGCCCCTAAGCCCTGCGCGGGTCGCTTCTCCGGGCGCCACCACTTCGTGGCGGGCAGGTTCGTGCCTGACGACGTACGCCGCAAGTTTGCGCTGCGCCTGCCGGGCTACACGGGCACCGACTGTGTCGCGGCGCTGTGATCATCACTAATAAACGGATGCCACTCGCGCCACCTCGGGTCCTGTTTTGTGCCAGCGGCTGCATGGGAGCCAGGGACACGAGGGCCAGGGCGGGAGGGGGGCTCTGCGCAGGTCGCTGGGGGCGGGGTCAATAGTAGGCGGGGCCTTTTGGGCGGGGTCGCTGTCCGACATCCCAGTCATCATCCCCCGGGCACCAAAGCCACGGGTCCGGAGTCGGATCCGAGCGCAGCGCAGCCCGCACACCCTCGGCCGCTGAGACCCGACCCACCATGGCATCACGGCTGCCACTGCTCTGTCTCTACTTTGCCGCCGCACACCTGGCAGAGGCCCGAGGTGAGGCCTGAGGCAAGCCTGGCCTGGGACCCCCAGGCCAGGAAGAGGACCGAGGGACCACATGCTTCTCGGGACCTGGGGCCCCTCCGGCGACCCAGGGCGCAGAGGTCGAGCCACGGAACTTGGGGAGTCCCGGGCCGGGCAGGGACTGCGTCCGTTCTTACCATCCGGGAGGACACTGCAGGGGCAGGGGCAGGGGTAGCGGGGATGGTCGGGAACCTGAGGTTTCTCCGGCCCCGGGGCATCTGACCCAGCTCCTTTCGGAGACCTCGAATCTCCAGGTTTCCCGCCCAGGGGTCAGACCCATCCACTCCTCCCCCGCACGCGATGCCCGGGGAAGTAGGGCCGTGGGCTGTTGAGGTCCAGTACCTCGGGGGAGACACCGATGCGAGGCGGAGGGTGCTGGCCCGACGTCGACGCCCTGCCCAGGCTCTGGGCCGGTCCGGCTGGACACCAGGACTTCTTTCGGGCAACCTAGCCGGGAGTGGGGTGGGGTGGGGTGGGATGGGGTGGCGTGGGATGGGGTGGGGTGGGGCGGAGCAGAGCAGGGAGGGGTGAGTGCGGGAGGACTTCCAGCGAGAGGTGGATGGAGCAGATGTGGAGCCCAAAGAATTCGATAAACTAGCCAGACATCCCAAAAAGGAGACACGAGCCTGCGGACAGAGGGAACACGGGCTCCCTCCCCCCCACCCCCCGCCCCCAGCCCGTGCCATTGGGTCTGAACAAGAGAAGGGATCTCAGAGCCTCGGATGCCTTCTTGGCAAGTGGGGATGACCTTAGCCTCCTGCTTGCACCGGGCGGGGGGGGGGTCACAGCGGCCCCTCTCATCCCACTTCTGTCCCCCCACTTCCCACTCCTGCAGATGTTCAGGAGCCCACAGCAGCTGCCTGGGGCCTGCAGAGACACATGCTGCACCCCAGCCAGCCCTCGCCAGCCCTGGAGGACTGGGAAGGTTGGTCAGACAGCGGGGACGGGGGTGGGGGGAAGAGTTCTCTCTCCAGTGTGGGTTTGCAGCACCCAGACTGGGGGGGTCAGGAGAAGAAAGTTAGAGTTGGAGGCGGGGCTGGCCTGTGGGGGGCGGGCAAGGCCAGCTCTCCTCTCAGATGCGGGGCTGGATCAGGGCGACCCGTGGACTCGAGGCCCCCAGGCTGGCCCCTGGTCTCAGCGTGCGGTGCCCACAGAGCCCAGCGAGTGGACATCCTGGTTCAATGTGGACCACCCGGGCGGCGACGGCGACTTCGAGACCCTGGCCGCCATCCGCTTCTATTACGGGCCCGCGCGCGTGTGCCCGAGGCCCCTGGCGCTCGAGGCGCGCACCACAGACTGGGCGCTGCCGTCGGCGGTGGGCGAGCGCGTTCATCTGAACCCCACGCGTGGCTTCTGGTGTCTCAACCGCGAGCAGCCACGCGGCCGCCGCTGTTCCAACTACCACGTGCGCTTCCGCTGTCCGCTCGGTGAGGGGCGGTGGGCGTGGTGAGGGAGGGCGTGTGCCTCGAGAGGACCAATGGCGGGACAGTGTTTGGGGCGGGGCTTTTTTTGGTGGGCGGGGCCTTGGGCTTATAGGTGGGCTGGGGCTTTCAGGACAAAGGGTTGGTGGGTTTAGGAGGGGCACAGCCTGCACTGTGGCTGGGTATTCAGGCCACGCAGTGCCTGTGGAGGGCAGCAGCCTCTGTTATCCTTTGCAGAGGTCGTGTGGACTGCGTGGGGGCCGTGGGGTCCCTGCTCCGGAAGCTGCGGACCAGGCCGTCGCTTGCGTCGCCGCAGCTGCCCAGGCCCGGGTGAGGACGCGTGTCCAGGGCGGGGTGTGGAGGCCCAGAAGTGCGTGAGGCCTCGGTGCCCAGGTATGAAGGGAAGGACCTGGGCGGGGCGTAGAGAGGAGGCGTGATCGACTCCGGGAGTGGCCTCCAAAGGAGTGGGGCGGAGCCTGGGAAGGCATCTCCCTAAGGTGGGGTACAGAGGCTGGTGGAGCCCGGGTCGCAAAGGACTGGTGAAAAGATGGGCTTGGAAGTGGAGAGCCATGGAGCCCCAGCTCGGGACTGGGTGGAGCCCTCCTTTTTCTCCCGGCCCACTGTTGCTGCAAGCACATCTGGATGGCCTGGGACTGGCACGAAGCCAGGCAGATGTTAGGGCCACTTTTCCAGGGGGCGCGCAAGCAGAATGGAAGTCGGTCCTGCCCTCCCCTCCTGGTGCCCCATGCCCACGCAGTCACGTTCACACCCTGGCAGTCCTGGTGCCCAGGCCTCCAGGACAGACACCAGGCCAGCCAGCAGGATTGGAAACTCCGCCCTGCTCAGGCTCCATAAACACGGCCTTCAGACCTTGCTGTGGGGGAGGGGGGGCGCCCCTGGCCAGTGAGGGGACCCCACCCCCAGCTCTGCCCTCCCAGCACCTCTGCTGCAAGTTTCCAGTGGAAGTTTCCATCTTCTGCAGAGGCTACAAGATCGGGAGGGGAGAGAGCTGCAGTCAGCCGCATGGCTTCTCCTGGATCCCCACTGTTCCCAGTTTAGTCTCCATCCTTTGAGACACCACCCCTGTCTCCTCGCCCAGGGTATCTCCCCTCTTTCTGGACTCCAGTTCTTTCCCACTGGCCCAGCCCTGCTCACTTACTCCATCTCCTCCACACAGTCATTGCTGAGGTCTCAGAGGGGCACAACATGGGGGGTGGAGTATGCTCCAGGTGTATTTGTTGAGTGACTAACTGATGGAAAAGCCTTCTGAGGCAGGAAACAGAGGCCTCTCTCCCTCTATGTCCCTCCAGGATGCAGCCCTGACACCTGTGGGTGCCCTGACCACATCCTCCTGGGGTCTGTGGTAACCTCATCTGGGCGACCACTGTCAGGCGCCAGGGTTTCCCTGTGGGGTCGGCCTGGCACTGTGGCCACCAGCGATGAACATGGAGCCTTCCAGGTGCCAGGGGTCTGTGCCAGTAGCCAGGCCAACATGAGTGCCCGGGTGGACGGCTTCTCTGTGGGTGTGGCCCAGACTCGAGCCAACAGCTCCAGCTCCTCAGTGGCCACCATTGTCCTGGATAAGTTGAGTGAGTGCTCAGGGTAGTGGGGCTGGGGGAGGCTACAGCGGAAGAAGCCGCCTCAGAGGCTGAGGTGGGTCTGGCCAAGCAGCCGGAAGAGGGGCTTTGCTCTGGGGAGGGGTGCCGGGTAGCACAGGATCCCAGCCCTGTCACTGTTGCCATTAGGGAAACCCTACCTGGTGAAGCACCCTGAGTCCCGAGTGCGAGAAGCTGGACATAATGTGACTTTCTGCTGCAAAGCCACAGGGAACCCTGTTCCTAAGAGATACTCATGGTGAGCGTTGGCCCAGCTCTGGAAAGGGCTGCTGCTCTCTGGCCTTTAATTGGATCGAGTTTCTTGTGATTATTTGGCACTTCTACCTCAGCTGGGCATGGTGGTACACACCTGTAATGCCAGCACCTGGGAGGCTGAGACAGGACAATCTCAAATTCGAGGTCAACCTAAACAGCTCAGTGAGACTCTGTTTCAAAAAAATTTAAAAATAAAAAGACCTTCTAAAAGCAGGTGCTGGCCTCGATTTTCCCTCTGACATGTGGGAGAACTTCACCAAGGGAGCAGGTGGGCACCTGAGGGACCCACCTCCCCAGGAAGAGGCCCCCTGGCAATGCTGCCACACTGTGTCCCCGCCTGTCCCCACACCTAGGTTCCACAATGGGAGGATGCTGGCCAGGCGGGAGCTTGGGTCTGGTGCCCACTTGGAGCTCAGTGGGCTCAGTGCTGAACAGGCGGGTGTCTACCACTGCCAGGCGTGGAGCCAGGCGGGCACTGTGCGCTCTGGCACTGCACAGCTCACCGTGCTAGGTGAGCTCCCTGACCCAACCCTGAGCCCCAGCCGAGCCTCCACCCCGATACCCATGGCGCCCCATTGAACCCCTCAGCCTGACTGCTGTCCTCTACCTCCCCAGCCCCGGGCCAGCCAGCGTGCGACCCCCGCCCCCAAGAGCATCTCATCAGACTCCCCAACTACTGTGCCCGGCCAGGCAGCAATGGCTCCGCCTACCTGGATGTGGGCCTCTGCCCCGCCAGCACCTGCCCGGGGCCTGTGGGCACCGGCACCCGCTGCGGGGATGCGGGCTCACGCTGCTGCACTGTGCGCCGTCTGGAGAGCCGGGAGATTCGCTGCACCGGTGTCATCCTGCCCGTGAAGGTGGTGACCCAGTGCGGCTGTCAGAAGTGCCTGCCCCGGCGGGGGCTCCTCCGGGGCCGAGTGGTGGCTGCTGACTCAGGAGAGCCCTTGAGCTTTGCCAGGATCCTCCTGGGCCCTGAGGCCATCGGCTTCACCTCCTACCAGGGCGACTTCACCATCGAGGTGCCCCCCACTACCGAGCGGCTGGTGGTGACCTTTGTGGACCCCCGCGGCGAGTTTGTGGACACTGTACGGGTGTTGCCTTTTGACCCTAGGGGGGCAGGCGTGTACCATGAGGTCCGGGCCCTGCGGAAGAAGGCAGCTGTCCTGCTGGACGCCAGCCAGAGCAACATGATCCCTCTGGGGGACCTGGAGGATGAAGGTCCCATTGCTGAGCTGGTGCTGCCCCCTGGCTCCATCCGGGCCTCCGACGGCAGCCCCTACACAGGGACCGTGGAGGCCAGGGTGACCTTCGTGGACCCCAGAGACCTGGCCTCAGCAGCAGCTGCCCCCAGTGACCTACGCTTTGTGGATGGAAATGGCGAGCTGGCCCCGCTGCGCACCTACGGGATGTTCTCGGTGGACCTGCGTGCACCAGGCTCCGCGGAGCAGCTACACGCAAGCCCTGTGACCGTGCACGTGGCTGCAGACCAGATCCGCATGGCCGGCCATGCTGAGGCCCTCCGGCTGTGGTCACTGGAGCCCGAGACTGGCCTGTGGGAGGAGGAGAGTGGCTTTGAGCCCCAGGTCACCCCGGGCCTCCGTGTGCGCCGTGAGGAGCGCGTGTTCCTGGCGGGCAACATGGAGATCCGCGAACGGCGTCTCTTCAACCTGGACGTGCCTGAGCACCGCCGCTGCTTCGTGAAGGTCCGGGCCTACGCCAATGACAAGTTTGTGGCCAGTGAGCAGGTGGAGGGCGTGGTGGTGACGCTGGTGAACCTGGAGCCCGCACCCGGCTACTCCGCCAACCCCCGCGCCTGGGGCCGCTTCGACAGTGCTGTCACTGGGCCCAATGGCACCTGCCTCCCAGCCTTCTGTGACCAGGACCAGCCCGATGCCTACACAGCGCTGGTTACTGCCACCATGGGGGGCGAGGAGCTGGAGGCTGCGCCCTCCAAGCCCCAGCCTCTGCCGGCCACCGTGGGTGTCACACAGCCCTACCTGGACCGGCTGGGCTACCAGCGCACGGACCATGACGACCCAGCCTTCAAGCGTACTGGCTTCCGCATCAACCTGGCCAAGCCCCGGCCTGGGGAACCCAGCGAGGCCCATGGACCGGTGTACCCATGGCGCAGCCTGCGCCAGTGCCAGGATGCCCCGGTCACTGCCAGCCACTTCCGCTTCTTCCGCGTGGAGTCAGACAAGTACGAGTACAACGTGGTCCCCTTCCAGGAGGGTGCGCCCGCCTCCTGGACCAGCGATCTCCTGTCCTGGTGGCCCAACCCGCAGGAGTTCCGAGCCTGCTACCTCAAGGTGAAGGTGCAGGGCCCCCAGGAGATGGTGGTGCGCTCCCACAATGCGGGGGGCAGCCACCCCCGCACCCAGGGCCAGCTCTATGGCCTCCGGGATGCCCGCAGCGTGCGCGACCCCCTGCGCCCCAACACCTCGGCCGCCTGCGTGGAGTTCAAGTGTGGCGGGATGCTCTTCGACCAGCAGCAGGTAGACAGGACGCTGGTGACTGTCACCCCCCAGGGCAGCTGCCGCCGAGTAGCTACCAACAGGCTCCTGCAGGATTACCTAGCTCGGCACCCGCCGCCTGCGCCTGTAGAAGACCCAGCCACCTTTGCCATGCTGGCGCCCCTGGACCCTCTGGGTCACAACTACGGCATCTACACGGTCACAGACCAGAGCCCCAGGCTGGCCAAGGAGATCGCCATTGGCCGCTGCTTTGATGGCTCCTCCGACGGCTTCTCTAGGGAGATGAAGGCTGATGTAGGCACCGCTGTCACCTTCCAGTGCCGTGAGCCGCCGGCCAGGCCCAGCCTCTTCCAGCGGCTGCTGGAGGTGCCTGCATCTGAGGTGCTGAGCGACCTCCGCAGGGAGATGGGTCGGGTGATGGCTCGGTCCCCGAGTGCCCCCCAAACACTCCAGGGCCAGTGACAGGGGCTGAGCTCCCCCACAGTCTGGCCCCATTCCTCCGAAGAGGTCCCCTGCCCGGTCTATGGGGACCCTTGAGAGTCAAGGAGGGAGGAGGGTGCACGCTGAGGCCCTGTGAGCAGAGCATCCTTCAGGTTTGCCTGGAGCAGGGGGAGATGCACAGCCCATGCAGGGCTGCGCCCTTGGCCTGTTCACCACCAGGGTGGCCTGAGCTTTGTTCTGGGGTTATTTATTAAAATAAAATGGGGGGCTGCTTGTGGGGTACATGAGGGCCAGGCTGGGCCCTGCAGGAGAGGAGGGATTTCTGGGGGTCCTCATGCCAGGGCAGCTCTGTGGCTGGGCATCCTGTGTTTGGTGTTGGAGGCCCTAGGGTATCAGGGTGGGGCGGGGTGCTCAATTAAAGATGCTTTGTGTCCACTCTGTAGTGTCTGGAGTGAGGCTGAGGGGTGGGGCAGGGCTGTCCATCCTGGGGCAGAAACACACCTTGTTGTGTTCATTCTGAAGAGTTTTGTTTTGTTTTCTGAGGCAGAGTCTCGCTATGCAGCCCTGGCTGGCCTCATACTCCTGGCAGTCCTCCTGCCTCAGCCTCCCAAATGCTGGGCTTCTAGGCATGCACCACTGCATCCCCACAGATAGAAACACACCTGCACCCCACAGGACCGTGTGTGTGCAAGCGCATGGAGACCTTAGTGGGACCTCAATGCGAGGTGCTCAGTGCTGGGCACTGTGGCTGTGGGGGGCCCAGCAGGGGGCTGGGGACGCTGCCCTGGGGTTCTGAACAGGGTTTTCACTGCCCCAGTGGTTGCCCAGCTGCCTGATGCCCAAGGCACAGGCTCCAGTGCCTGGCCTGACTTGGGGCTTGGAGGTGACAGAGTAGCCAGGCAACACCAGTCACCGATGAGGGGGGCTCCCTGGGGAACCCCATTAGCACCTGTGTAGCCTGACAGCAGCAGTGTGGCACGGCCACCCCAGGAGGTACAGGCTGTGTGTGCTGCTGGGCTCTGGCTCTGGCAGCCCGGGGGGTTCCTGTCGGGGAGTGGGGGCCCCTGCAGCTGGGTTGTTGTGGCTGCAGCTCCAGACTGGGTAATGAGGTGTCAGCCTGTGCCGCCAGAGCCTGCATGGGGCCTCGGCCAAGGCCGAGCTGGGGCCGCTGGCCGGCCTCGGGGTGGACGCAGGCCTTGGCAGGTGCAGCCTCCTGCACCCCCCTCTCTGGCCATCAAAGTGGCTGTCATCCCAGTGCTGTGGGAGGCTGAGGCAGGAGGACTGCAAGTTCCAGCCCAGCCCTGGCAACTTAATGAGACCTTGTCACAGAAATAAAATAAGAAGATCTGGGGGTGTGGTAGGGTTCGGAGGCCCTGGGTTCCATCCCTAGCACTGCAAAACAGAAGAAAACAAAAAGAAGGAGCCACAGCTCCTACCTTCCAGAGGGAGAAACTGAGGCTCACAGAGGATGTTCTGCCTGAGCTTCCGGACAGCAGCCTCCCTCCTGGAACGCGGCTGCAGCTTCTGGAAAATCCATTCCCCAGCCGTCTGCACTGCCAGCACACACCCCACTGCTGGGAGGTGTGCGGCCAAGACCCCCCCCAGAGACCCTGGCCACAGCCGCCTGGGGTCAGCTCAGGGCACAGGAGGCCCCGGGTCCCACCCACAGCATTTTTGACTTTTATAAATTTAGAACTAGGGGTTTTTAATATTCCTAGCAGGGAGCTGAAGGAGGAATTTTGGAACAAGAAAGTAGTTCAAACAAGTCTGCAGAGGCCAAGGGGAAAAAGGGAAAAACAGACACACATGGGGCACCGGCTGGATGCAGGCCTGCCCTGCCCCACACTGAGCTCACCTGAGGGTGTTTAATGTCTGTTTATTGCCTCAGACCCCAAAATGAGCTTTCAGGGAGACTGAGTTCACTCCCACTCCCCAGCCTAAGGTCACAAGCACATGTGGGTACCACAGGCTGGGGGAGAAGTTTCCTGGAAGAGGAGACAGAGGCACTGGATTCTGAAGGATGTGTAGGAGTTTGTGGATGAGGCAAGAAGGGCATTCCGGGCTGCTGGAGGTGACAGATTTTGCAAGCAGCAGGAGGAGGTCCTGGAGCAAGAGAGGTTCTGCCGTTTCTCAGGAGGATGAGTGCCCTGGCTGGCTCCTTAGCAGCCAGCCCCTCCCCCGTGAGCGCCCCTCAAAGGTCCCACTCCTCAGCCTGGCACCTCCTGTCCTGGCTGGACACCCCTGGCTCCTCCACTCCCCTCCCACCACTTCCCCGCCTCCCATCTCACTGGTCAGTTGGCAGAGTGGGGTTGCCTGAACCTCAGACCCTGAGCCCCAGCCAGCCTGGCCCAGCCCTGGGGTGGGGGGTGGGCGGCTGGGGACTCACACCCCAGGTGAGTGTGAGGTCCCCACTCCTGACCCTCAGGGTTCAGGGGGACCAGGTGGGACACATGCTGCCAAGTCACATGTCCCAGAGCCGGCGCCCTCCTCAGTCCAGGTCTCGCCCGGCCCTGGCCCTGTGTGGGGAGGTCTCCTGTCATGGTGTCACCATGCGCCACTCTGAGTTCGGTTCCACTTGTGCGGTACACAGTGCAGATGGCACCCGCCCCCCCACCGCGACACCCTGGGTCTGCACTGGCCGGGTGGTGGGGTCAGGGCAGGTTTTGATGGAAACCCTGAGAGCTGGGGAGCCTGCGCTCTTCTCGGGCCGCCCAACCCGCTTCCCGCTGACGCAGCCTCTGCACTGCCAAACCTCAGGTATGTCCTGCAGCAGTGCCCCGGCCAGCCTCCGTGGGGCCAGGCAGGGGCTTCCCGCCGACTCAGACGCCGTATCCCCAGCCAGAGCTGTCTCCGTGCTGCCCAGGTAGGAACCAGGTGGCAGAGGCCCCAGCTGTCATGTCCAGGACCCTTCTACTCCACGCAGAGCCAGTCAGCCCCTCCGAGGCTCTCTGGAGTAAGGTCAGGACTCCAGCCCTTTTCCTGGTGCCCAGAGATGCTGCTGTCTGTTTGGCTGTCCTGGGGTCTGGTGCAGGGACACATAGGGGTGCACAGAGGCCCCTGGATGCCTTTCTGCTGAGCTCTGGATACAGATTTGCTTACAGGTGCACAAACCCAGCCCCAAGCCTGGCTCTAGAGTGGTCAGAAAGGCAAGACAGAGCCAGCAGTGGCCACTCCAGCCTGTGGGATCAACGTCAGGTCAGCAATGAGCCCAGATGCAGAAGACACCCAGGGCATAGTTCTGAAGAAGGTTTACTGGAGGAGAGGGCATTTTAAACAGGGTTTTGAAACATGAGCAGGAGCCTTCCATATCAGGCTCAGCTGTTCCAAAGCTTTGACATGATCTTAGAATTCTCCTTTTGCTTTTGAGAATTTCCAGCAGTGGAGGGAGACAGATAAAGCTCAATCCATTACTTCCTCTTGAAGACACAGCAAGGGGTCCTTGGGGAACATTCAGTCAACCAGGGAGATAAAGGCAGCCTCAGCCCTAGGCTGAGAGTTACAGACCTAAGGTTTGGGGAATCCCTGATACGGATTACGTGGGTTCTGTGAGCAGCCCTTTTAGGCAGGTTCTCTTATCCCTTTTTCTGAGGCAGGGTCTGGTTGTGTAACTCAGGCTGACCTTGATTTCCCCTGGGAGACCCTCCTGCCTCAGCCTCCTGACAGCTAGGCTTACAGATGTGCGCCATCACACCAGGCTTGGCTGGGGAAACCAAGGCTGAGGGGGAACAGGGCCCCCGGGGACCCCTGGAGAGGCAGGACGGTCGGGGTCTCCCGCAGCCTGGTGGCCTAGGTGGCATGTGGGCTGCGTGGCCTGCTGGGCAGGGAGGAGCAGCAAGCACGCGTTGTGTTGGGCCAGGCCGCGTGCAGTTTGCCAGCAGGAGTGGCTGCTGGGCCGAGGAATGTCCGAGCTCGTGCGTCCCCTGGAGCCTGCTGTCTGGGTTGGTGGCCAGCCCTGGGCAGTGCCCCAGTGCTATGGCCAGGCGGCGGGAGTCCAGCCCTGGGCCCCACGACCCGGGCCTCTCCATGACTTGTATACGCCTGTGATGGGGAGCTCACCTCCTTACTGTGACCACCCGGCCCTCTGGGAAGTCCTGGCTGCCAGGCTGCGTGGAGGGGATGTAGGTGCAGCCTCTCCCCAGGGTCCTGCCTGCCCTGAGCCGCCAAGTGGCCCCGGGGCTCGGCTTGGCCCCCAAGGACCCGAGGGTGTCAACCCGAGGTGAGAAGGTGCATGCATGAAGCACCCCCTGAACGCTGCACGTGTGCCTCGCTTCTTGCTGGCCTCGTCGGACCCATTATCGTTCCATTTTACAGCTGGGGAAACCGAGGCTCGAGTGCCCTAGCTCTCCAGAGGCTGCAGGGGATGCATTCTGGAAATAGCGGGGTCTCTGCTGGTGTGCCAAGGACCACAGCCCTGCAGGACTTGGTTTCAGCGGGGTGCGGCCCCTGGTGGCTACAGGACGCGCTGCAGGCCCCAGGGTCCGAGAGGCCCCAGGCTGAACCTCCGGGTCTCCCCGTGGTGTCTCCGCTCCAGCCTCGTTTACCCAGCTGAGGACGCAGGTCTGGGGAACACAAGGCTGGCACGCAATGGGTGCCCAATAACTGTGATTCCTGCTCGGGTGCGGGCTGGGGAGGGGCTGGGGCCCTCCAGGCTTCCCCAGACTATGCACACCGCTGGAGTCTTTGGGGAACAGGAATGTTTACTGGGGTCTGCCGAGTACGACAGCACGGGCTGCATCCCAACACGGAAGAAATGAAAATGATAGTCATTTACTGGGATTGGGCCTAGGGCCCCTTGAACTTCCACCTTGAGACCTGTTGTGGACGATCTTGAAACTGTATGGGGGGGGAGGACCTTGTAACTGCTTCAGCCCCTGTCTTGGGGCTGAATATACCTCCGATCACTGCATCGGGGGTGTCTCCAGATCTTCCCGAGCGTGTGTCAGAGGGAGGATCTGGAAATTTTTACTAGGGCTCAGGCATGGAGAGTTGAAATTCCTATGTGGGGGGCCTCGAAACGCCCATCAAGGTTCGCCTGCTGGAGGCCCTAAGGAAGGAGTGGTTGGGGCATTCATCAAGCCCGAAGAAGGCTAGACAGGTCCTGAAGCCAGCACCTGGGACGGTGTCTGGGGACCAGGGACGGCAGCCACCTCCGCCCTTCCACTGCATAGCTCGGTATCTGAACCTCCACTGTGTCCCCCTAGGTGACCTCCAAGGTTTCTAGACTTGGGCAGGGTGGGAAGGGGCGGGGCGGAACCCTGGGGCGGGGTCAAATGAGTAGTGGGCGTGGCCAGACGAGGGCGGAGCCGACGAACAAGAAAATAGAATTGGGTTGGGTAAGGCGATGGGCGGGGCCAATAGACCTAGAGGTCCACAGGGAGCTTGGCTAAGAATCCCGCCAGGCGGGGGCGGAGCCAGGTAATAGGCGGGGCATGGCC